GGGGAGGAGAGAAAGGGAGGAGACAAGAGAAAAAAAAACGCCAATAAATATAAGGAGAAGTGCAATTAGCGGCCGTAATCGGATTACGGAGCCGTCGGTGATGAGGGCACCGTAGCGTGAATCAATACACACGGCGTGTATCTCCGTGTATCTGATTCGTAGGAACGCTACGGTGTAGGGGATAGGCGGGAGGTATACACACGGAAGTACACGGAGAAGAAAGGAAATCGACACAGTCCCCATCGGAAGTTAACGCTCCGAACGTTACAATTTTTCTCTTTGGTCGACGCCCGATCAAACGCGCTCTACAGCAACGATATCAACGAAATGTGTCTCGGGCTCCCTTCCCTCACACCACCCTCCTACTTCGAAGGCGCAAAGAATTCCCATTTCTCTCGTACAAGCTCGTAAAGGCGCGTTGGTATCGTGAGGATCCGGGTGTCCGGGAAACAAGGGTAAGTGCTCCTTACGGTCCTGCTTGCGCTCTCTTATTTTGCAGGCCTAAGATCTGCGAAGGACATAAAAATGTAACGTTTATACGATGACGATATCCATGATGTCGAGTCGCATTTTTGTTTTTTTGTTTTTTGCTGTCGCCGATGACGGCAAGACAACCGGGAGCTCGCCGTGACCGATTTTCGTTTCTGTCGGGAGAGAGGTGCGCGCCAGGAAAGCGTCCAGACGCGCAACGCCCGATATTGCTCTCGTTTTGTAATTATTATAATTAAGTACTAAAAATTCTTGTTTTCTTTCTTCAACACACATTACGTTTCTCTATCGATCTATTGTCTACGACGTACATTGAGGTTCGAATGTTATTATGTCCCTCGCGTCTCTTCATTCACCTGCTCTAGCCCGAAACGCGTCTCTAAGTAAGGTGTCCTTAAACGGATTCACGATCTACGACTTTGCGATGCGTCGTTTTGAAGCAACGTTGCTACGACGACGGTCGTTACAATTTGTCTCAAAACGAAGCGCCGGAAAGCCCTAGACAAAGTTCTAGATCGAGCAAAAGCAACAGGTCCACCTAAGCGTCGAAAATGCACTTAGATGCATTAATTTTTATAAAGATATATCAACCTCGCGGGTGAGATTGTACACGTACGGTAATAGCTGTGAGAATTACAAATGCGAATTTATAATATGTCCGCTGCGAGTTTCCTATTTTAAATTAAATTTAAATTATGATCGTCCTTCTCGCTTATATCACAAGCTTTGTTCAAATAAATTAGATATATACAAACACATATACATATTGAATAATTGAAAGATAAGATTATTGAAAAGAATTTTTAAAAAATATGCACCGTTTTTTAATTCGGCGAATCTAATCAGTGTCTCTGATTCTTCTATCCTTTGCATCTCAATTCATAAAGAAACATGCCAAATTGGGAAAATTCTGTAGTACAAAACCAATCGTCATGAAACTTGACACAGATATAAGGTAAAATATGAAGACCAGGGTCTGGTGGGTCGTATGGCGGCAGTGCCCATTTGCCACTCATACAATTTTACTTTGGCAATAGAATAACGTTGTTCGTGAACCCGTTGTTCATGGCCCCTCACAAACACTGCAGCTTTGCCGGCTACATAAATGGGGAGTGTGCCTCTGCCATACAATTTGATAAAATGGACAATTAGTAATGGCAGGATTTTATCCATTTTTAATTTCCTAATACATGGAATTTTTGTAAACACCGATCTGACTTTGGCTCATTGCCCTTTACTTTATCGTTTGATTTTCATTCATTTTCTTTGTCTTCTTTGCCGATGTCCATAATCATTAAAATCAGTAGTATTCTCTTCTGCCTCTTTTACTCCCTCACTGCAAGATCTTCGATTTGCAGCTGATCATCATTATCGAAGATATCAGGTGTCTGTGTCAAGTTTCACGACGATTGGTTTTGTACCATAAAATTTTCCCAATTTGACATACTCCTTTCATGCCGCTTTGCCTTACGAATAATATAGGTGGCAGGAATTAAAATATTGCTGCAGCACATTTACATATTTTTCTCCCTCCATGATCATGTTTCATCACACGTAATTTTTATCTCCTACAATTTTCTATATTTCTATTTCTATGTTTCGGTCCATCTCTTATTTCATTATATAGTTAGGCTTCATAGCAGTAATATTGCTAGAGCCTTTTCACGCTTCATCCTTCATTTATACATTATCGTCTATTATATATAATGTCCAATTATACATATCCAGTTATTATATATCATTATAATTATTATTATTATATGGATATATAGACAGACATGATATAGATTATATATATTCACATATTTTGATTGGAAACAGGCATATCGTGGTTTTATCGCATTCATCCTACGTTTTTTTTTTGTAAATAATTGTCTTAATAACTTATTTCATTTGGTTTAGGCTTTAGCAGCAGTATTGTTGGTGCCTCGTTTTATACATGTACATCTTTCATTTATATATTATCATCTATTATATATAATATCCAATTGTATGTATATAATACATTTACTATTAGTATTAATATCATATATATATATACACACATATATATATATATATATATATATATATATATATATATAGACAGACATAGATTACGAGATATAAATTACATATCTTCATATACTTTGATTGGAAACAGACGTATCATATTTCATACAGCTCATTCTATGATGTTCATAAATCATTGTTTCAATCTCTTATTTTTGGTTAGGCTTCACAGCAGCAGTATTGCTTGCGCCTTGCTTTTTATATGTACTCATTGTTCATGTTATATCATCTATTATATATATAATACCCAATTGCATGTATGTGTGCAATGTAGCTATTATTATTATTATTATATGGATATATATATATAGACAGACATGATATAAATTTTATATATATCTTCATATACTTTGATTCGAAATAGGCATGTCATATTTCATTTCATATAGCTCATAATATACACAATTTTCGTAAATTAATGTTTCAATATCTTATTTCATTTCAGTTAGAAATGCTTCAGAGCAGCAGTATTGCTAATGCCTTGTCTTTTGTATGTATTCATTTGTTCATTTATATATATAATAACATATCATTGGATGTTATATATATATATATATATATATATAACAACGTAAATATATAGTTTGTTGTTCTGCTAGTATTAATTATATATTTAATCACATATCACCGATATACCACATTTATTGAATTAGATTAGTATAAATATAGGTTATATTGTTAGTGTATATATTTAAATAAATTTAGATTAAATTGT